ATGATTAATAATTGCTTATTGGGCATCTGTACTAGAACAGACACTGTTTAAAACTAAGGATGTTCCAGATGATGGAGTATCATTCAGTGAGAATAAATAATAAATAAGTCATCAAGCCATGAACAGACGTGGAAGAGACTTAGATGCATGTTAGTAAGTGAAAGAATCCAATCCGAACAGGCTGCCTACTGCGTGATTCCAACTAGATGAGATTCTGGAAAAAGCGAAACTATGGAGACGGTTTAAAAAAATCAGTGGTTGCTATGGGCTGAGCACAAGGAGGGATGGGCTGGAAGGGCACAAAGGAGTTTTAGGGCAGCGAAACTATGTGTGTGACATTATAATCGTGGGTACATGTCATACATTTGTCCAAACCCATAGAATGTACAACAGCAAGAGTGATACCTTGTGTAAACTGTGGACTTTGGGTGATGATGATGAGGACGATGTGTCAGTGTGGGTTCGTCTGTCAAAACAAACAGACCACTCTAGGGTAGGTCAATCACTGGGAAGCTCTGCGTGCGTGGGGTCACGTGGTGTACTGGACATCTCTGCATCTTCCATTCAATTTTTCTGTGTAACTAAAACGGCTCTAAAAAGTAATGTAGTAGTGAACAAAACCAACAGGTATTCTACCCCGAAGGGGAGTAGGGGCTGGCTGGGAAGACAAACAAATACAAGCGTGCCCTGGAGCATGTTATAAAAGGGTCTCAACTCCATGCCGGAGAAGGAGTCTCTGTGGGGTGATGCCAAGGGGAGGTATTATCATTTTATCACATTCTGATTTTTGTTTGTTGGTTTTTGGGGCGAGGTCTTACTCTGTTGCCCAGGCTGGAGTGCAATGGCATGATCATGGCTCACCACAGCCTTGACCTTCTGGGCTCAGGCAGTCCTTCCACCTCAGCCTCCTGAGTAGCTGGGAGTACAGGTGTGTGCTACCACGCCCAGCTAATTTTTTTTTTTTAGAGATGAGATGAGGCCTCGCTATGTTCAGGTTGGTCTTGTACTCCTGGGCTCAAGCACTCCTCCCGCCTTGGTCTCTCAAAGTGCTGGCATGAACCATCACGCCTGGCCTCCCACATTGTTTTGACAGAGACTCATATGATCCCTGAACTCTGATGCAACTTTTCTTGACATCTTCCTTCTCAGAATCCCCTGGGCCAGTCAGTGCCTTGACACAGTGGCCGAACTCACAAAAATGGTGAACCTCCTGTCTCACCTCCAAAAAGGGTTTCTGGGGGAAGAGTGGATGAGCGCTCACAGGGTTGAGGTGGCAGGGTGGTAGGCTGAGGGCCATATCTCCAAGGCCTCCCATGGGTGCCAGAGGCAACCATGCACTCTCTCCAGAGGAACAGAATGCTGTCACTGTCCCTAGCTGAGACTGGGAGAGACACCAAGTCTGCAGCCCAAGTCAGACCTTCCAGCGCTGCCCAACACGTCTTGACTCTGTCCTTTTGGCTGTCAGTCCCTGGGCCTGACCACCCCATGCTGGGGGCAGCTAGTTAACTGATTCCCTAAGGATCTGGTGAGCATCTCCCCTGACCCAGGGTTGCCCTAGAGACTCGTCCCAGGCCTAGCCGGAGGGTGGCAGGATGGGAATGGTGCCTGGGTCTAGGGCTGCTAATCTCTGTGCTTGACAACTACTTGTGAAACTTTTGAAAGGAACAGGCACCATTCCTCCATTAAATGGCAGTTTCAGGGGCAAAAGCTTTAGCATTTTACAAAACTTGCTGGCTGGGATATTTTCCTGCTGTGGGTGATGAAGGGGTTGGCCTAGAAATGTTCCTTGGTTCCTCCTCCTCTGGGGAAACTTCTGGCTGGCTACGGGCTTAGTGGGAACGATCCCGGGAGGGTTTGGGGGCTGGACAACCCCTCCCTCCCTCCCCTGAAGTCCCCCATTGAGTCCGAGGGCTGCCTAGCAGGGCCTTGGTTCCATGTGTGTCAGCGTCGGGCACAGAGACATCCCGCCGTGAGCGTTCCCATGACTGGAGGTGACCGCCTGATTGTTTCCAGCTGTCGCCGCCTGCCAGGAAGGCCTCCCTCCCAGCTTGACATGAAGACTTGTCAGGAATGTTGTCAACCTGATAGCAGGCCCATGAGGGTGGGAGTAGGGGTGTGTGGGGTGGGAAGGGCAGGAGCTTCAGGGAACCTTCCTGAGCTAGGGGCCGGCTCCCCCAAGAAAAGACTGAAGCCTGTGGGCAGGGCAAGGCCTTCCTTACACTTTGCTGCAGCAAGGAGGGATTCAGCCCCCGGGTGGGCTGAGCTGAGGGGTCATTCTCTTCCGTGGCATCTGGGCCATGTGGTTTGGTCTCCTCCTCCTGGCTCAGCCTCCTCCAAAAGGGTTTCGTAGGGGCTGTCATCTACTGGCAAATGAACAAAATCCAAGAGCAAACACATTTCACATTCAGTCTTAAATGCTCAGAGGAACCAAGTTTTTCTGAGATTACACATTTTTCCAGCATTATGCTCTAGTAGAGTAGGCAAAACAAGAAACTGGAGTTGTGCTTTTCCCTTTTTTTTTTTTACATTTTTGAGGCCCACACAGAGGATACTTTCAATAGGTGGGTGGTTGGGGACACAGGCTGGTGTGCACCTGGATGAATGGGACACTCAGGCGTGAGGCTGCAGAAGAGGGGTCAGCTACACTCTCACCCAGTCTTTGGGGCCTCTGGAATGTCTCTGGGTGGGGCTGCTTCTTCAGATTTAAGGCCATTGCCAGGGAGAATCTCGACTGGGGGGAGGAGGGGCATGGTGGTATAGGGAAGACACTTGGGTTTAAATTCCAGCCCTGCCACTTCCTGACTGTTTGAACTTGGACAAGTCACTTAACCTCTGTGAACCTCTGTTTTCTCACTTGTGAAAAGGGGAAAATATAAATAATGAGGCCTTGACAGAGGTGGGTAGGAGTGAGAGAATGAAGAGCCTGGAAGGGAGAGGTCTTTTCCCCCTCCTTATCGCCTCACCCTGTGAACACCCTTTGCTGTCCCTTTTCCTTCTCAGACTTTCTCTTCAGTTTTCCTTGGGAAAGTTTCCCTCTGGAGTGTCCCAACATCTACACACCCAAGCCTCACCCCAGACTCGTTAAATCAGAACCACTAGAGACCTTGGTATCAGTGTTTTTTTTTTTTACAGTTCCCTGAGGGATTCTGATGGCCCAGGCTGAGAACCACGGCTCCAAAGACCAAGGGACACAGGGACAGTGGGAGGTGTAGGAGACACTGATCGTTCTGCACTGTCATCAGGGCCCTCTTGGAATTCTGTCGGGATGCCTGCCTGTCCCAGGGGAGTTGATCCTCACATAGAGGGTTTAATTGTCATGGATTTGACCCTCAGGGGAGGTGTCACAAGTCCATGACATTTTGTGATCCATGAGTTCTTGGAAGGGAGCTCTGAAGTCCACCTGCATTGAGGCTGGTGCCGGAATGGAGTGGGATGGAGCCTCTTGGCTGCCTGAGTCCCTGGGGCCAGCTGTTCATGGCACATAGCAGCCTTGAGGAAGGGACACAGAACTGGTTTCTTTCTGGAAGTTGGCCCCAAAGAAAGGCCAGCTGCTAGTGCTGGTGTGAGAAATGGAGAAAAAGTGAAGAGCTTCCAGAGAACAATGCTCCCAAGCCAGGAAATAGAAGTTGAGTGAATTAAGGAGGGCCTGTCCCACATAGCAGTGGCTTTTGTCTATGCTGTGAGCAGGGACAGGTGAGTTGTTGAACTCCTGGCTCCATCCCTCATGAGCGCCCAAGCTGCTGGGTTGCCACCATCTGTTGTAGTCCCAGCCCTGGGCCTGGGGGACTTTAAGCTCATCACAAAGGTCTCTGTCCTATCCCAGGGCATCAGGAACATGCATTGTAAACAGGGCTTTTTTTCCATCATGACTTTCCTCAGCCTCGACCTCCTGGGCTCAGGCGATCCTTCTGCCTCAGCCTCCTGAGTAGCTGGGACTACAGGCATGAGTCACCATGCCCAGCTAATTTTATTATTATTATTATTATTATTTTATGGAGACAAGGTCTTACTGTGCTGTCTAGGCTGGACTTGAGCTCCTGGGCTCAAGCCATCCTCCTGCCTGGGCCTCCCAAAGTGCTGGGATTAATTACAGATGTGAGTCACCGCTCCTGGCCTAACAAGGACTTTTTAAGTGCTTCCAATTTGGCTTTCCGATTTCTGTCATGGGCACGATGGACCAGGGCACCTCTGTTAAAAAAAAAATCTGAACACGAATAGTGTGAGCTGCTGTTTCCACAGGCTTGTGGCCTGCTACCTCTGACTGAGAGCATCAGAGAAAGGAGGCACAGCAGTAATTACACAGATGTGATGGGAGATGAGGGCGCAGGCAATATTTCTTAAAAACATAAGACAAGACCGAGGCGAGAGGACTGCCTGAGCCCGGGGGTTCGAGACCGGTCTGGGCAACTTGGTGAGACCTCATCTCTACAATAAATCACAAAACCTAGCCGGGCGTGGTGGCATGCGTCTGTAGTTCCAGCTACTCGGAAGACTGAGGTGGAAGGGTCACCTGAGACCAGCAGGTCAAGGCCGCGGTGGCCATAAGTGTGGCACTGCACTCCAGCCTGGGCAACAAAAGTGAGACTCCAACTCAAAAAGAAAAAACCCCACATAAGACAACCTTGAGTCACACCTGAAAAAGACCTCACAGAGCTGTGAATTGTAGAACAGAAGTTTGTTGGTGAAACAAAAGCTCAATCTGGGGCTGAAAAGTGTCCACATCAAATGAAAACGGTGGGCCTAGATTTTCTAAGCTGTTTTCCCTTGCTTGGGGGGAGCCCTGGGGACAGGTGCAGGATGGGGGATGCCCTGTCTTCCTGAGGCTGATCTGATATTGGCTGGACCCTCAGAGCCAGAGGTGGACTGAGGAGACCAGCGACCCCTCCAGGTCAGCCTGGAGAGGCAGGCAGAGCCCCGCGAGCCCTGGGTCCACTTTATCCAATCCCGGGAGGTGCTGGGAACAGCAGCCAATAAAGAGGTGCTGGCCCCTCTTTCCTCAGGTATCGAGTGAGCTTCAGACCCAGATACGTCACTAGGTACAAGACAGTGACTCAGTTGGAATGGAGGTGCTGCCCTGGCTTCAGAGGGGGAGACTGCCAAGAAGGTCCCAGAGATGCCATGAAGACTCCCCGCCCCACGCCCGCTCGGCCTCGAAACAGCTTGAAGAAAGCCACAGGTACCCTCTTATCTGTGCTACACTGTGGTGCCACCCTTTATCATTTCAGTGCTCCTTCAAATGCAGGATTTACGCCTCGCAGTGCCGGGTGTTCCAAGATCTTTGAATAACACACGTAGCTCTGTAGATGTGTGGCAGACAAGTTATGTGCAGGAACAGAGCAATTGGAAGATAAACTTTCTTGCAAGTAAATTGCTTTTGTCAGGACCAGCTTGTTGTGAAAACCAGTGCCTTAAGATCAGGATAGGAAAAGCTAATGGGGACAGACTTGTGTCACCTGGAGGCACAGATATAAAGAGACTCAAATGTAATCGTGCTGTTTTTATTTAGCGCCCATAAATCTGAATTTAAAGGAGTTAAAATGGTTTTTTTTTTAAAAATAGATACATGGAGTCATTTTCTTTTTCTTTCTTTTTTTATTATAAAGATGTGGGGTGTAATTCAAGGTTAGGTATACAGACGTTGATTATGCAGGGTACCCTTGTTGATGAAGTGTGCCCCTCCCTCCCCTAGCAGTTTCCCTCAACTGCCAGTCCCACCCCCAATCCCCTGACAGTTTCCCGCTACTGCCAATCCCTTTCTTATAGTCTTATAATTGTTCAAGGTCTGCTTATGAGTGAGAACATAAGGTACTCTGTTCTTTATTTCTGTGATAGATCACTGAGTATGATCGACTTTAAATTCATCCAAGTTGCTGCAGAGTCCATATGTTTGTCCTTCTTTATGGCTGCATAATACATGGAATCATTTTCATTCTGTTTAGGATGAGATATTTGCAAAGCCAACCCCCAAGTTGAAATTTCACCTGTGCATAATCAACGTTTGTATACCTAAACCTGAATTGTACCCCAAATCTTTATTTAAAAAAAAAAAGTTTCACCTGGAGTTCACCACCTTTGCTTTTAAGTGTAAGACAATGACTTATGGATGGAAACTTTTTAGCAGTTTATTCCACATCACTGCATCTTTTTTAGTTGAGTCACAATAGGCTGGGCACAGTGGCTCAAGCCTGTAATTGCGGCACTTAGGGAGGCTGAGGCAAGAGGATTGCTTGAGATCAGGAATTTGAGACTAGCCTGGGCAACATAGTGAGACCTTGCCTCTACAAGAAATCAAAAAATTAGCCAGGTGTGGTGGTGTAGTCCCAGCTACTCAGAAAGCTGAGTCAGAAGGTTTTCCTGAGCCCAGGAGGACGAGGCTGCAGTGAGCTGTGATCGTGACACTGCACTCCAGCCTGGGTGACAGAATGAGGCCCTGACTAAAAAAAAAAAAAAAAAAAAAATGAAAAGAAAAAAAAGTTGAGTCACGATAAATACAGCCTAGGTTTTCTTTCTTTCTTTCTTTCTTTTTTTTGAATCAGAGTCTCACTCTGTTGCCCAGGCTGGAGTGCAGTGGCACTCTCACGGCCACCCCAGCATTGACCTGCTGGGCTCAGGTGATTCTTCCACCTCAACCTTCGAAGTAGCCAGAACTACAGGTGCATGCTACCACATTTGGCTAATTTTTTTTTTTTAAATATATATTGTAGAGACGAGGTCTGGGCTCAGACAATCCTCTCGCTTCGGACTCCATAAGTGCTGGAATTACAGGCTTGACCCAACTCACCCAGCCCAGCCCAGATTTTCTTATGAAATTCGATGCTTAAGTCATCTTTTTTTTTTTTCTTTTGAATTGGAGTCTCACTCTGTTGCCCAGACTAGAGGGCAGTGGCCGCTCCCGGCCACCGCAGCCTCAAACTGCTGGGCTCCGGCGATCCTTCCGCCTCAGCCTTCCAAGTAGCTGGGACTACAGGCGCGCACTACTACGCCCGGCTAATTTTTTGATTTATTGTAGAGACGCAGTCTCGCCAAGTTGCCCAGCCGGGTCTCGAACCTGCGGGCTCAGGCAATTCACTCACCTCGACCTCCCAAAGCGCGGGATTACAGGCTGAGCCACCGAGCCCGGTCATTTAAGTCATCTTTAAATGATTATGTTTTCCCCTGAGATGTTTTCAATTTTGAAACTGGTAGTGCATCCTGATGTTGTCAGTAAAATAGACTTAAAAATAATTTTTAATAATAAAAGTAATGCATATCCATTAAAGAACGTTTATAAAACAAAGGACAAATATTTAAGGATACATAATTTCACCCCTAAATGTGAACTGCTATTAATATTTTATTATAAAACATTATTCGCTTTCCTATATTCATTTTGTTAAAGGAAAACTCATCATCCCACAAATATTATGGGGTTCTATATCTAGCAGGCTCTATACTGGATACTTGAGATAAGTGAGAAACAAGATAGACACAGTCCCTGGCAATCATTACAATAAATCACGATAGGTACTGTGATGAGGGAAACATGAAGTGGGGCTGGTGGATCATAATAGTTTTTTGTTGTTTTGTTCTAGTTTCCATTTGATTAAAGTTTAAACGTATGCGCAGTTTAAAAGTTGAATAACTTTATAAGAACTAATAGGAAAACAACGACCCCCATCACTTTCCTTTTTCTTTTCTTTTTTTTTTCTGAGTTGGTGTCTCACTATGTCACCCAGGCTGGAGTGTAGTGGAACGCTCCCAGCCATCACAGCCTCGACCTGCTGGGCTCAGGTGATCCTTCTGCCTCAGCCTTCTAAGTAGCTGGAACCACAGGTGTGCATCACCACACCCGCATAATTTTTTTGATTTTATTGTACAGACAAGGTCTTGCTATGTTGCTAAGGCTGGTCTTGAACCCCTGAGCTCAGGCAGTCCTGTCACCTCTGCCTCCCAAAGTGCTGGGATTACAGGCGTGAGCCACCGCGCCCGGCTTACTTTCCCTTTTCAGAGGTGCTTTAAGCTCATCCAGGGAGTCCATTGGCTTCCGATTGTGAAAGGTGAGGATTTAGCTTCCTTTCATCCACTCCCCAACATGATGCTCCTGTATCCCCATCCTTTCCATGCAGTTAGAACCTATTTTTGTTTATTCAATAGTCAATGTTTACACTGTAGTAACTATATAGCTATGCTTACAGCTGAACCATTAGTGTACCATGAGTAGGTTTTCTTTCCTACACTGCTTTTTGATTCCTTATAGTTAATTATTATCTTACATTTTTCCTTTGCTTAGTTTTCTATGTTGTTATCCCTATTTTTTTTTTTTTTTTTTTTTTTGAGTTGGAGTCTCACTCTGTCGCCTAGGCTGGAGGCCAGTAGCATACTCACGGCCACCCCAGCGTCGACCTGTTGGGCTCCGGCTATCCTTCCACCTCAGCCTTCCAGGGAACCAGAACTATAGGCACGTGCTACCACACGGCTAATTTTTGATTTATTGTAGAGACGAGGTCTTGCCAAGTTGCCCGGGCTGGTCTCGAACCCACGGGCTCAGGCAAATCCACTTGCCTCAGCCTCCTAAAGTGCTAGGATTACAGGCTGAGCCACCAAGCCCAGCCTGTAATCCCTATATTAACCCAAACTCTTCTCTGGTTCTCTAAATGTCCTCTCCTTATATTCTGACACAGCAGTTTGACCTTCTTGAAGAAATCTCCCCTGAGCCTTCTCCCTTGCCCCATGTGGACTGAGTGTCCTCTTCCTGTTACCCTGGGATCTTAACTTGCCTCTCTCCTATTAGATACTACATTTCTTCATTCCTTGGATCCCTTGTGCATTCGTTCTTGGTTTATTTTCATTGTTTGGTCGAGCATGTCTTCTAGTAGCTTCATGAGATGATTGTGTGAGAGGAAAACTTCTTGGTACCTTATGGTCTGAAAATATTTTTACTCTAGCTTCAGAATTCTAAGTTGGAAGTCATTTTCCTTCAGAATTTTGAAAACGTTGCTCAATTTTCCTCTGGCTTCCAGTATTGTCATTAAAAAGTCCAAAACTATTTAACTTTCAATTTGTGTGTGTGTGTGTGACTTGAATGGGTTTTTTGGTCTCCCTCATTTTATTTTTTGTCATTTTAGTGGGATTTTAGGAGGAAATGAAAGGAAATGCTTATTATCCTCAATCCACTATCTTTATAAAGAGCAAAATGTTTTTATAATATACTTTTAACTTAACAATCTATAATGAACAATGTTGCATGTCATTAAATACAGTATCACTTAATGACTTCTGAGAATGTGATTGGTTGAACACAATCCTCTACTTTTGGTCCTTAGGTTGTTTGTAATTTTTTACTACTACAGATAATATTTGAATAAGCATCTGTTCTTGTTAAATTTTTGTACTCAGCCTTGATTATTAACTAGAATAAATTTCCCGAAGTGTAACTGTAGGGCCAAAAGGATTCTGAATATTTTGATAAATATTGCCAAATTATCCTTTGAAAAGGCTGCAGTTTCCACAGTGACCAGTGGTATAGGAGCAGTGAATTTCCTTACATCCTAGGTCTTCCTCCATTCTCTGTCTTTTGTCTTAATTTCCTTTGTCCAGTATAGTTTTTCACTTGCATATGACTTGATAATTCACCTTCTTTTAGTGTCCTGAGAGAATAAATTTTTCAGTATGGAAAACAAGGTGTTCTTTATAGTTCTCTGCAGGAACAAAAGATGTGGGAGTTTGGACATCTGAATTTCAGTCTTGGTTTCACCACTAACTTGATTTTAATAAATAATAGCTGCTGTTATGATCTTGTGCAAAAGTTTAAAAGAGGGGGAAAACAATGACAATTAAATTTCAAAGATCTACAACATTCTAAATTTACTTCCAGTGTTTTCAGTTAATATGTTAGTGCATCTTATTTAATTGTACTCTATGTTAGGTTTGACTTTTTCCACTTTACATGGTATGTCTCACTGTAGTGGCCAAGCTTGTCAGTGTTAACTCCTTCCACTATTCCTGGTATCCTACTGGTTTCAGCACATGGCTTGTTTCTTATTCTCCTATTGCTGCAGGTTTTGACAGTCTCCTTTTTGTTTATCTATCTCTACATCTAACAATTTATTTTCATTTTATGACTCATCACTATCATTGTTGTAATTTTCTTTTCTTTCATTTGGACTGTTTCCTTGAGAGTATTTTCTTAAAATAGGATTACCTAAAATTCAATGTTTGCAATTTTTTTTTTAATGAGATGAATGAAGGCTTGCTATGTTGCCCAGGCTGGCTTCATACTTCTGGGCTCAAGTGATCCTCCTGCCTCAGCCTCCCAAGGAGCTGGAACTACAGGCTTATGCCACCTCATCTGGCCAACTTTCAATATTTGTATTCTTTGGCTTAGTGAACCTTACTGTATATGGCCAGATGGCTCTATTGTTAGGAGACACTAGTAAAATAGGTGCTTTTTAGCTCTCTGTTGCTTGTTGTTTCCCCAACTTCATACCAGGACTAAACGCTGTTTTGTAGCATAGAGATGCTAATACAAGACAAAACATTCAGGCATTGCTTTGAGGACAGCTAAGATGATGTGGGATATGATATCACCATCCAACAGCTCATGGGTGGATCTTGCTACAGTGACTTCTTGTGTTTTTACCGCATGCAGTCAACTCTTGGGGTGTGGCCACAATTCACTAGTGTGAGAATGAAGTGTTCATATGATAAAGTAGATCACGGACATTTCCCTTCAGGGTGAAAGGCACCATTGGTTATCTGTTAGATGCCATGTACATAGTCTTTTAACAACTCTAGGAGGGACTATACCTCCTCTTTATAGCTGAGGGAATTACTGTTCACAGAAGTCAGTCAACTTGCTCAAGGACAAACAGTAAACAGCAGAGCCAAAATGCAAGTGCAGGTCCTTTGGACTCCAAAGCCCCCCCTCCTCTCCACGGTGCCACAGCAATTCCCTGTGGTTAGGTAGGAGACCTGTACGTGGAGCTTTTGGTGTCTTCTGTAAGTACCCTGTTTGTTGTCTTTGCAGAAACTAGCTCAAGGTAGAAAATGTTCATTCATGTCCAACTTTTTCCTTATAACAGATAATAACGAACCAAGCCAAGTCTCAGAGCCCAAGAAGACTTTGTCCCCAATGGACACGGCACATCCCAACCGGGTGGTGGACCCAAAACAGGGGCCCCAAGAACTTCAGGAAAAGAAAATTCAGGTGCTCGAGGAGAAGGTTCTCCGACTCACAAGGACGGTTCTGGACCTCCAGTCCTCCCTCGCTGGAGTGAATGAAAACCTCAGACATGCCATTCAGGACGATGCCAGTAAAACGCGGGCCTCGGGGTTTGGTAACCAGCATCCGCCTGACGGCACCGTTAGGGGAGACACAGAAGCGGTCCGGCGTCCTGCCATTCCCAGCACTAAGGAATCTGGCATGAAGGACATCAAGTCAGAATTGGCCGAAGTCAAAGATACTCTGAAGACCAAGAGCGACAAGCTGGAAGAACTGGATGGGAAGGTGAAGGGTTATGAAGGGCAGCTCAGACAGCTCCAGGAGGCTGCCCAGGGCCCTACGGTGACCATGACCACCAACGAACTCTACCAAGCCTACGTGGATAGTAAGATCGACGCCCTGAGAGAGGAACTCATGGAGGGAATGGACAGGAAGCTGGCTGATCTGAAGAACTCGTGTGAGTACAAGCTGATTGGCCTCCAGCAGCAGTGTGACGACTATGGCAGCAGCTACCTGGGGGTGATAGAGCTGATAGGGGAGAAGGAAACAAGCCTGAGAAAAGAAATAAATGACCTTCGGGCCCGGCTGCAGGGGCCTTCAGGCCAACCAAATTGCTGTGATGGCGACAAGAACGGTGACCTTGGTCAACAGATCAAGACGTTAGACCAGAAAATTGAGAGAGTTGCCGAAGCCACCAGAATGCTGAATGGACGCCTGGACAATGAATTTGACCACCTCACAGCTCCAGAACCAGATGTGGACTTTGATGCGAGATGGAACGAACTGGATGCAAGGATCAACGTGACAGAGAAGAACGCCGAAGAACATTGCTTCTACATTGAGGAAGTCCTTCGGGGAGCCATCAACGGAGAGGTGGATGACTTGAAGCAACTTGTTGATCAGAAAATACAGTCTCTGGAAGACCGTCTGGGGAGCGTTCTCCTCCACACGGCCAATGACACTGATTCAGAATTCACTGCCCCAGGGTCAGCCTTGCCGGGGTTGTCAGGGTCAGGGGACGAACAGGTCATGATAGAATTAAACCACCTGAAGGACAAGGTTCAAGTTGTTGAGGACATTTGCCTGCAGACCCTCCAGAGAGAGCCCCATGAGATCGAAGGTACTTTGCCAAATGGGAAAGACCACGCAATGCGTGACAGCTTGCGCCTTTTGAAGTCTCTGAATGACACGATGCACAGGAAGTTTCAAGAAACTGAACGTAGTATCCAGAAACTTCGACAGGATTTCAGTTTTCTTTATTCTCAACTAAACCACACAGAAAACGATGTGACTCATCTTCAGAATGAAATGAGAGATTGTAGAGCAGGTAAAAATGCTGGAATGGGTGGGTTCACTAAGGTGGGTGAGCAAGAGAGGACAGCGGAGACCCTCCCATCCCCCCAGGACCCCATGGCTCATTGCTGTGGTCAGCTGGAGGAGCGGTGGCAGAGGCTCCGGGACCAGATCCTCTCTGAGCTGGACACCTGCAGGGAAAGTACACATGGCGTCCAGAGGGAGGTCTCCGTGGTCGAGGGCAGGGTGTCTCACATGGAGAAAACGTGCAGCAAGCTGGACTCCGTCTCGGGGAGTCTTCAGAGGATCAAGGAGGGACTCAACAAGCACGTCAGCAGCCTGTGGAACTGTGTCAGGCAGATGAATGGGACGCTCAGGTCGCACTCCAGAGACATTTCTGGCCTGAAGAATTCAGTCCAGCAGTTTTATAGCCATGTTTTCCAGATTTCCACTGATTTGCAAGACCTGGTCAAATTTCAACCCTCAGCAAGTAAGTAAACCTTACAATTCCATTTCTTCTCTTTGTTTGCAGCACTTGATAGTTACCAGGCTAGATTTTGAACAGTTTGTGGAATTAACTAAATTCCATTAGTGCTACCCAAAGTGCGGTTCATCGATTGGTGGCAGTTCACAAATCCTTTGGTGGTATGATAAATGCCAACATTGAGAGTATGTTGTTTTTGAGTCGAGCCTCACTCTGTTGCCCAGGCTGGAGTGCAGTGGCTTGATCACAGCTCACTGCAACTTTGCCCTCCTGGGCTTGGGTGATCCTTCTGCCTCAACCTCCTGAGTAACTGGGACTACAAACATGTACCACCATGCCCCGCTAATTTATTTTATGTTTTTGTAGAGACGATGTCTTGCTATGTTGCCCATGCTGCTCTCAAACTCCTGGGCTCAAGCAGTCTTCCCGCCTCAGCCTCCCAATGTACTGAGATTACGAGAATGAGCCACCGTGCCTGGCCTCGGAGTATGTATTTAGGAACTTTGAAAATAACTGGATATCACTACAGCATTCAAGCACATGATCTGAGTATTTTACAAAAGGCTCAATCCACAACAAACTGAAAAGGAAAGTGGTTCTTCACCACAGAGAGATGGTGGAATACTGATTATGTTGGTGAGCTTAGAGTTGGGGTCACATTTTTGGCTTAACAATTTGGCAGTGGATACTCTCTCCTACCTAGGGAGTCTCCTGTATGCTAATCCACACAATGCTATAAACACTGTTTTCTGTTTATTTGTGTCATTATAATCTGTGTCATTACCATCCTTGGGCCACCTCCCATTCCCTAAAATTCAGGGCCTGGATGATGGTGGTTAGGATTCTCATATTAGTTTTCAGACACAAACAAGACCGGGGACAAAAGCAGCTTTAGAGACAGTCACTGTCTAAAACCCCACAGTGCCTAGATCCAGGAAGCTCATCGTAGTGCTGGAGAGCAATGCTTGCTATGTCTTAGACACTCAACAGATGTTTGTTGAATGAACAAATGAATGGTCCCTTAATTGTTTTGAGTAATATACCCAATGAAGTTAACTTTTTTTTGGTAACTGGGGAGAGGAGACAGACTTCTTATTCCTGAAGTGCAGAGTGTCTCTTGTCCCTGGATTCTTACTTGTAGAGAGCCTTGGTGACAAACCAGCCTTCTCTGATTGGAGGCAGGAGGTGAAAGGAACAAGGAGGGAGCTCACATTTATTGAGGACCTTCTTTTTTTTTTTTTGA